CTTGTAGTTCGGTCGGATATGTCAAAAACAAGTAAGTAAAACAATGCACTAGTTACTTAACGGTAGGGAGAGAGAGCGAGACAGAGAGCGCGCGCGCAATTCTGTTGTGTAATCTTTGAGTTTCACTCACTTAGCACACGCATCATTTAAATCGTAAAAATAAGACCATTTATAGGGGCATTCACTATAAATGTAATTTATTTTTAACCTTAGGCATACACGACTTTCTGGCGAAAGTGAATCTAGCAGCCTGTGTGAAATGCGCTAGGCTGTACTATTCTGCATTAGTACAAATACGTGCATGCGTTGCACATGTTTTGCTTGCTTGAGTGTTTGTGCATTATATGAGTGGCTTTGGAAATTTGGCCAGTGGAAATGAATGAATGAAATCAACTAAAATTCTAAAATATTTATCTGAGAACTATTTAAAGCAGTTTTTATGGATATTTTGATATATTTATTTTGAAACATAACAAGGATACTGGATGATTTTTAGCAATAAAAATTTATGTGTATGTAACAAATGGCATTTATAGTCCGTATCCCCTTAATGTGTTGTACCTTTGACGGTGTTAAACATGGCGTAACGTGGATGGGAATATGCATGGAAATGATATGCAGATGAGGTTATGCATAGTAAAACTAGGCGTTGTAAGCTCCATATATGGTGATTTCTGGGAGGAGACGGGGTGGAGATGCTTTTGTGCTTACGTACACTTTTAGGATGAAATCTATGGAAAGTTTTATAAATGAGGCCCCAGGAAAGTAAACAGTCTGCAAAGATGTGTTTATGATATATAAAACATGACCTGAGACACAATCAAAAACCCGTTTAAAAAAAGCTGTAGGTACAGGGTCGATGGATGAAGTAGTAGAATTACATTAGTTAACAACTTTCTGAAGTTCTGTTAGCATCAAGCATATGCACTTGACTTACTGTTGAGTAAAATTAAATAAATTTATAACCTCTAAAAACTGCACTGCTTTACGATCAGCTTTATCAACATGAAAATTAAAATCACCCACGATGAGGATTTTATCATAGTTGGTGACACACAAAGTTAAAAGTTCAGAAAACCCCAATATAAAGCTAGGGTTGGGTATCCAGTACCAGTTCAACATTTCCAAGGACCGTGGATTCGACAAGACATGCGCTTTAGTCTCCCATTAATCAATTAAAGGGGTCGTATGATGCTTTTTTAAAGATCATTATTTTGTGTATTTGGTGTAACAGAATATGTTGACATGCTTTAATGTTCAAAAAACACATTATTTTTCAAATACTGTACATTATTGTAGGTCCTCTATGCCCCGCCTCTCTCAAACGCTTCGTTTTCTACAAAGTCCCAGGAAAACTTGAAATCGCATCATATGACCCCTTTAATACATATGCATTTTTATGTGATTTTAAACCATTCAAGTGCAAGATGCAAAGGAGAACTCAATTTGGCACTCTCAAGGCTTGTTCACACCGGGACGAATATCGCGCGCGATTATCGCCGACGTTTAATGCCTCGTGACTAAACAAAGGGCGCCAATGTGAGTGTGCACACCGATGCGCAAAACGCGAGGCGTAAAAGCGTCCTTCTTTAAAAAACGCCTCAAACTCGTTTTTTTGGTTTGAAGCGCCGCGTTAAATACTGGCCGACCAATGAGATTGGCGATGAGCTGCTGAAGTTACAGTAAAACACGACTTGGTGGCGCTCAAGCACAAAACGGTCTTGCCGAGCACACATTGATACCTAACGCTGAAGAGGAAGTAAGCAGACCAAGAAGATGCATCGAGGCAAGATGAATGTAGAGCTGCTGGTCTCATTGGTGTCTGAACACAAAGGGCTTTATGACAAACGCGACAGCGACTACAAAAATCTCGATAATAATGGAGTTGTTATGGAGAGGAATTCAGATCAAATAGGATTCGATGTGTACGGGGTATTTCTGTTTTTCATTAAGCGCCATCTAATGTCAGGGAGTGAATTTACACGTTCACTCAGCTCATCACCAGCGAAAATCGTAATTGGGTATGAACACAAAAGACGCGTCGAAAAACGTTGGCGATAAGCGCGCGTGATCATTCCGGTGTGTATGAGGCTTCATACTGTTTTCTGTGCTGTGCAAATATCCAGAGTTATGCACAAACAGCCACCTCTCATATAATGGAATATTGAGTTATCTTTTGCATCTTCTTGCACTTGAACAGACAAATACACAAAAACTTTCCTTGTGTTCTATCCTTGTAATGTCCTTGTAAAGTGGAAGCAACCTAACATTCCAGCTCTCTGTGCCATTAATGTTAATAAAAGAACAAAAGAAAATCACTCACTGATCTTCACTGATCAACTTTTATAAATTTTAATAAGGATTAATCTATATTTTATATAAAAGAAAACAATGCCGTGTTATTTTACATTTGTTTACATTTGATTTAAATTTCTGTACCTGAACTTTGTTTAGTTGTATTTATTTGTGCTACTGCTAATTCATTTATTTGTTCTTATTAGGGACCAAGTACCGATTGTGTGAAGGCACCTCTTGTATCCAGTAGTTTTCTTCTTCTTCTCTTTTCTTCTTGAGTCTATGGCAGCCCATAGAACTGCTTGCGGGAAAGTTATGAAATTTGGCACACAGATAGAAGACAGTCTCAACATTAAAGGGATAGTTCACCTAAAAATAAAAATTATGTCATTAATTACTCACCCTCATGTCATTCCAAACCCGTAAGATCTTCGGAACACAAATTAAGATATTTTTGATAAGATACCTTCCATAGACAGCAAGGTAACTTCCACGTTCAAGGCCCAGAAAGGTAGTAAGAACATCATTAAAATGGTCCATGTGACATCAGTGGTTCAGCCGTAATTTTACAAAGCTAAGAAACACTTTTTGTGCACAAAGAAAACAAAAATAACGACTTTATTCAACAATTCTTCTCCCGCGAGTTACCATCTACTGCCATTATCGAGAGTAACACGACGCATGCGCATACCGCTATTTCTGCCGCTCCAAAAGCGCCCCCTGCCGGCAGAGAATGAATTTTAATTTTCAATCAGCCCGTCTGCTGTTTTCGTTCAGACCAATGCGAAAATCCACTGATGTTTTTACACAGATAATTTCGAAGAAAGATAATTTCTTATAAGCAGAGCAGAGTGTAACAGAGACGCTGGAGTTTGGTTAGAATCCATGAGCGGAAGTTTATTAAAGGTCAAGGCTTTAAACAGATGTCGATAATCAGGCAGAGGGTCAAAGTCAGAGAAGCAGGAAGATCGTTCTTCATACACAGGGGCAGAGGCAGAGACAATAGTGGAAAGGCAGGCAATGAGTCCAAACACAAACATCAGTCCAATCAGGCGTCAGAACAGAAGGGGCAGAGTACAAATACCGTGAGTCAAGAAGTCAGGCAGAATCATACACAGGAATCAATCAGGAACAGAGGAACTATAACGCTTGGTAAGGCAGATGAACTGGCAATACTTCGCGACCAGCACATGGACTGGTCTCAGTTTATATGAGAGTCAAACAGGAAATGGAAGTAGAGGAAGCAGAGGGAGTGGAGCACGGTCAGTACTCGGGCGAGGGCTCCCTCTGCTGGCTTGGCGTTACACAGAGTAGTAAATATGATCCGGTATGTATGTGTATATATATATATATATATATATATGTATGTATATATATTTCCTCCACGGGAAGTGCCGCCACTGCTCCGTTCAGGAGTGTAAGTCTGTGGGAAACTCATGGTACTCAGCTGCAACAGAACGTTTAGCAAAAAAGTTAGAATAAATATGTTGGTATCTAAATGTATGACTTCATTTATTTTTTTTTTTTATAACTTACTGGAATCGAAACTGGGAATCTTTAAGATTCAGAATCGTAAATAAGCAGAATAGGAGCCAGAATTGCTAAATTTAAAACGATACCCTACCCTAAATAAAACACAGGTTTTGCTTAGAGGTTAATATACTATAAGAACTAAACTTTCTGATACTTCTATTTCCAAATACTCAAATCTTCAGTCTTCCTTCATTTTACAAATAAGCCTTACATGGGGTGCTGTTCAAATCCCTTCTCACTATTGGTATAATCCTTGACTTTCTCCAGTTTAATCTAATTTTATTGTTTCTAGAGGAGACAATTACTTCAATGTTATTAAGTTTGCATCCCTGTCCAAAAACCAGGGGTCTCAAAGGATAATTTTTTATAAGTATTTGTATTTGTGTTTCTAAAACTGAAAGTTCATTCTCAATTGAGGTGATTAGTACTCAGCTGCAACAGAACGTTTAGCAAAAAAGATAGAATAAATATGTTGGTATCTAAATGTATGACTTCATTTTTTTTTTATTTTTTATAACTTACTGGAATCGAAACTGGGAATCTTTAAGATTCAGAATCGTAAATAAGCAGAATAGGAGCCAGAATTGCTAAATTTAAAACGATACCCTACCCTAAATAAAACACAGGTTTTGCTTAGAGGTTAATATACTATAAGAACTAAACTTTCTGATACTTCTATTTCCAAATACTCAAATCTTCAGTCTTCCTTCATTTTACAAATAAGCCTTACATGGGGTGCTGTTCAAATCCCTTCTCACTATTGGTATAATCCTTGACTTTCTCCAGTTTAATCTAATTTTATTGTTTCTAGAGGAGACAATTACTTCAATGTTATTAAGTTTGCATCCCTGTCCAAAAACCAGGGGTCTCAAAGGATAATTTTTTATAAGTATTTGTATTTGTGTTTCTAAAACTGAAAGTTCATTCTCAATTGAGGTGATTAGAAAGAACAAGGTCTTTTTGTTCTTTCTAATGCGCAACTCCATTCTGCAAGGCTGCCATGCTGATGCTGCGGCCATGATACCCACTATGATTTCTTAATGTTAACTAAGCATTTCCATACGTTGCCATTGTTTTGTGAATATTTATAAACTTGCTCAAAAACGAATTTAAACAAAAAATAGGTAATTGGGTCCCTGTATTATTTATTTATTTATTTATTTTTTTTTCAGTTTTTTGCTGGTGAATAGTGTTGCATTACATGGTGATCACTGCCCCATCTGCCAACGTGTGGAGGAGGAGTTACACAAACTCTCACATGCTCTTAACTGCTCCATTCAGGTAATAAATAACATAAATTTACTTAGTTTCATCAGTAATTACTGGATTTTTCTTCCTTAATATGACCAGCTGATTTTTAGAGATCATTCTGTGATTTATGTTTTCACATTCACATAGTATTGGTTATGTTTTAAACAAGGGTTTCCCAAACAGGGGTTTGTAAACCTCTGAGGGCTCTTGAGGGAACTGCAGGGGGTTAATCTTACAGTTAATCAAAATAAAACTCAAGTAGCGATATATTATCAAATCAATGGCTGTAATATAATTAAAGAAGTATATTGTCTCTTGTGCTGCATATGTCAGAGTAAACAGCGGCACTGTGTTCATTTACATTCATGCAGCTTGGCTGTTTGCAGAGTGACTCGATTTACAGTAAATGCTGCTTCTGACAAACGCTGTGAGTTCAAATTCACCAAATGTGTAATATTCTAGGACTTATTATGTCCTCCATAATATAAAGTATACTGCTCTGACCCTTCTTGGCATTGAGTGCTCAAGTTGATGACAATTTGTCACTTGGAGGATGACCTCCTTAAATGTTCTGATCTTTAATAGGGAGTATAGTATAGTATAGTATAGTATAATAGTATAATAGTGTTGCTCAACTTGTCTCAAAATCCCCCACAAGTACTCAAGAGTGTTATGATTGGGTGAAACACTTGTCCACAAAAGTTTTTTTTTTTTTTTTTTTACCATGAGAGAATGTATATTGTCATGTTGAAAAAAAAAGCACAACAATGCAGGGAATGAGAAAGGGGTAGCATCTTCTGTTTTATGTTTTTGCATTACATCACACATTGGTGTGTGAGTTCATGACACCTTCCTTCACACCTTCAGCACTCATACATCCCTATAAAGAACTTTGCCACTGAACTGTGAAAACAAGACACCTCTCATTGTCCTCTCACTGGAGGACCCCTAGCAGCGCCATAGCATTTTGGATGCTGTTAGATCCAATATGATTGACTTGGTCTCATGAGACTAGAGTATGGATTCTCAGAAATCTATATTTTGTAAATATGGGCCTTGGAAAAGGCTAAATGAGTTTATTGTGCTTTGGCTACTGGGTAGTTCCCAGTGTGGACAACAAGCAAGCATTTCACTTTTGCATATTGCATCTTGTATTCTTTTCATAGCTTTTGCCAGCTTTTAGACATTTGCTTGGTATTTCTCCTGCTTTTTTTCTTGCAAAAATCACTCCTCTCTCAAAGTGAAAGCTTAAAGCGAAGGCCTGATTATTTCAGGGACTTTGTAACAAGTCCAGTGTTTTTGATTTTCTGTGTTAATTTTGCTTTATTTTTACATTTCAACATACTTACATGCTTTAATTGCATTTAACTTGCACCAGAAATGTTTTTTATTTACTTTGATTTTGTAACTTTCAGGTGGGTGTACTCATTTTTGCAGCACATTTGACAACTTTGATAAAATATTTTCCTGAATAATTTTGATATGCTTCTTTGGTAATTGATCAAGCTGACTTATTGGAACATATCTCCCAAGAACGCTAATTTGTCTTCTGTGTAAAGAGTATACATTAGTTTTAAATTATTTCTTTTTAAATAATTAGATTGACAGCATTAACACACACACACACACACACACACACACACACACACACACACACACACACACACATATATGGGCAATATCACACAAGTTGGAGTGCTGAATCATCTGAAGCGTTTTCTTCGCAGTCTGTATTAAGATAATTAAGAGCACAGAACAAACAGCGCTGGATTAAGTGGATATTCAGCTACAAACAATTAAAACAAAAAGCTAACTTAGCTAAAATTCAGCTATTTGTGTAGTCAAGTCAAGTCACCTTTATTTATATAGCACTTTTAACAATACAGATTGTGTCAAAGCAACTGTACAGCATTAATTAGGAAAATATTGTGTCAATAATGCAAAATGACAATAGTAAACACTCAATTTTCAAAGGCAGTTCATCATGTGTAACGGTCATAGACATTTCTTGACCTAGTTTTCCATGTACCCTTGATTAGTTTATTCGGTCCCACTTTATATTAGGTGGCCTTAACTACTATGTGCTTACATTTAAATTAATAATTTAATACAATGCATTTACTGTGTACATACATGTTTTTACATTGTAATTATATTTAAAAAAATACCTGCATGTAAATACATCTGTAATTAATTTCCATAATTACATTTGTAATTACACTTTTGACCCATCCCTTTATACCTTAAACCTCCCTTAAACTTACCCATACCACCAAACCTGTCCCTAACCTTACCCGTATCCCACCTCAATAGCTGCAAAAGTGTTTTGCAATACAATATGAACACAATAAGTACATTGTACTTATTTTTTGATGTAAGTACATAGTAGTTAAGGCAACTTAATATAAAGTGGGACCATTTATTCTGTTCGCCTGTGTTCGTTAATCATCTCATTAGTTCCCTCATTTAGTTTCTGTATAAGTTCTCCCTGTTCTGTTCAGTCCTTTGCCGGTTATTCTCTGATGTTAGATGTTGGTTGTGCTGCATTTTCCCTGAAGTTTCTCCAGTATTTCTTCTGTGGATTTATTAAAGGACTGTTATTTGGAATTCTCCGTCGTCTTGTGCTCATTATAGCACCACACACGTGACATCATGAGAATAAGCTTGTATTAACATAGGAAGTGTTTTTGTGTCTGCCCAGGCTTTCATATACAGTATATAGTATATATACATACCCTAGATGGATGTATTTGACCATTTTGTTGCTTTTTGCTATTTTCAGGTTTAAAATGTATTGATGTCTCTAAAGACACCAGTCTTACAGGTTCCTAATAGCTAATAGCACATTAGGGCAGTGATTACTCAATTTCCAGAGACATAGGTATGTACAACGTTGTTTGCTGCATTCCAGTGGCCAGTCACCACTGGAATAATCAACAACAGACAGGACCTATATCTTGTTGATGTTATTTTTCACACTCACTGTTCTGTTACATATCCTTACATCATTTCTGCATAGTGTTAAAACATGTTAACAACATTGTAATTCATGTTAATTTATAATAATTTTTTTTATAATTTATGCATTTAGCAGACGCTTTTATCCAAAGCAACTTACAGTGCATTCAGACTATAATTTTTTTTACCAGTATGTTAGCATAGTAAAACATGTTAGGAACATAATTCATGTTAACAACACGTTAAAAACATGCCAACAAATGCAAATTCGTGCTATTATTGTATTAAAATATGTTAGAATCATGCTAGCAACATGCTAATTTATGCTAGCATAGTGTTATGGCACTTTTCCACTTCCGTGGTACGACTCGGCTCGGCACCCAAAAGTGAACCGTACCGTGCCGTACCATGCAGTGGAAAAGCGCCATTAGAAATGTGGCAGTTAATCTAATTAATTTGATTAATTACACATCGAATTTCGCTAAGAATTTACCCTCAAAGGAGGATTTAAAGTCATTATTGTGTTAAATGAGAAAAGCATCAAATATACATTAAAATATCTTTAGAAATAAATCTTTTATTTGACTCAACATAGAATTAATTACACATAAACACCAGAGGTTTGTTTGACTACTGAATGTGTCCAGCAGTGTCTGAGTAAATCTGGCCAAAAACCCGAAAAGAGTTGCAATAAACAGCGATTTTACTAAAAATAAATTTCCGAAAAGTTAAAGCTAACCAGAAGTGTAAAGTATTAGAGTAAATGTAATTAGTTACTGTACTTGAGTATCTTTTTGGATACTTTGTAGTTGTACTGAGTATCAAAGATATTAGCAACTTTTACTCTCTGCTTCACTACATTTTTGAATGAGTATCTGTACTCTTTACTCCACTACATTTGAAATGAGTGTTGCAGTTACACATTACAATTTGCATGGACCTAGCTTTTTCTGCAGCAGTTTAATTCTGCTACAAAAGACGTGATATTGCCTATTACAGGTCACTGAAAGTACTGCATCTTCTGCGTTTTGCCCTTACTCACCCAAACTTTTCAACAAGGCTAATTTATGTGAATGCGATTTCCTTATAAAGTATTTGTGAATCACAGGTGTTTTATATATGAGATGAGGACATGACTGCAGCCCAAAAAAAGGCCCAAACCAGCACATCCACTGCAAGAAGGCTTTGGCTTTTTAATTTTACTTAACATTATTTTATTTATCCCTTATACTGAAGAGACCTTTTTGAAAGATATAGTTTTTTTGTTTGTTTTGTAATTTTGAGGTGTTCAGTTTTATTTTGGTTTTAGAAAATAAACGCGATTGCTCTCCTCACAAATCAACTCTTTCTTGTTTTTGTTTCATGCTCTTTGTGCCTTGCCCTGGACTTTTATGTCACTTCCTGTCTCCTGTGGTGTTTGTTGTCAGTTTGTAGTAGGTTTGTTCAAAATTGAGGTGGAGTCAATTAATGGGGATTCCCAATAAAGGAATTGGGAGTCAATTAATGATGGAAAAGTGAATATGGAGGCGAGGTCTATCGCACCTGAAAGAGAGAGATGTCACCAATTAACGCAGTTTCCTGTGATGAGGTTTGCAGAAAGTGAGAGTTATGGGTAACCGTATGAAGTATTGTGAATCTTTAAGATTTAGTTTTATTTTGAGTGAATGTGGACAAGCGTATTGGCTGGTGTGGAAATCCACTTCAGTGTGACCAGTGTCAACACACATTTCTCTCTATTTTGTGGATGTGTGAAAGATATGAACTGAATAAGTGGGAACTGAACTGATATGTTAAATGATTATTATTATTGTTTATGTTTTCCTTCCCTTTTGAAGTGATTATTTGGTTGATATGGAATCAGTTCCCTTGTGACATTCCAGTCTTGTAATATTTATTTATTACTTTATGTAACAGGTGGTTTTCTTTTGCTATAAATTATTTTGTTAATTTTCACAGTCTTAAACCTGTCTGATGCCCAAATTGTATTGGTTTGGGGCAGCAACGGTCGTTACATATGGTCTATCTATGAAGGTTTTTTTTATATTTTTTTTTTTTCTCTTTTCAATCAACAGGACTCATGGATTTATATCTAATGCTTTAATGTATAATACCTAATATTATTTTCAAACTTATTTCAAGTAATTTGAGTGTGATTAAAAAAAGATAAAAAATGTATAAGAGCATTGAGGTGTATAATGATTAGATTTACTGATTTGGGCTGCCACCTTGAGCACACATAATGTAATGACACGTCTAGTGTTCGATACCTATGAGTTGACTAAAGGAAAAAAAAAACCTCAGTTAAAAGAATACAGAAACGCCCTCCAAAGCCATCGATCACCCTTGCAAAGCCTGGCAAAAGATAAAAGAAAAGAGTAAAATAAAAAATGTAGCTGTTAAGCACAAAGTAAAAACAATGGGGAAAAAATGAATCAGTTTAATTTTGTTTGTATGGCACTTT